GGCTCCTTGCCTCTTGTTTCGAGCCAAATTAATCAACTTACAAAGGAGAGGGCTCTCTGTCAATGTACATCAATCTACTAGATTTATGGCAAACGGGTAGACTCAATAAACGCGTGTGGAACCCAACTATCCCTTCTCTCTCCCGGTTATTCATTCGAGTTTTATTCATCAACGTGCAAACTCCAAACTCGACTCTACGACGCTCCAAAGCCGTGGGAAAAAAACACCAAAAGCTCCAGGGAGAGGAGAGATTACGCCAGGGACTTCATCAAATCCACCTAATCCCGAGTAAACACATTTCGATGATTAATAGTGCATTTTTCGGGTGCCTGTAATTTCCAGGGAACGAGGCAAAAAAAAATCCCAAAATCTCTTTGAGTTTAACCGAATCTCTCAAGCCTTTAATATTACTGATGAGGGAGAGTTGCGTAAGGTATTATCACTGCGGTTTTAATTGTGGTATGATGATGAATTTTTTAAATGAGATTTTCCGTGGCGTAAATGAGTCGTGGCGCTATTTCCGGTAGGTAATGGGGGTTCGGATTGTTCATTCGGTATGAATTTCGAGTTGCCGGCAATCTCACCAGCACAAGAGATTTTCATAGAAAATTTACATTCCATTTTCAACGAATTCAAAGTCAGAGTGAGCAGATTTTTGGTAGCGAATTTTTGAACGAGTAAAAATTGAAATTTCAGAATTTTCATTGAAGAATAGTTAATAATGTGGAGAGGATTGCTCTGAAGAAATCAAGTTACGATTGAGAATAATGAAATAACGAGAGAAGCACAAAGAGGATGGTAAAAAAAAAAATAATCTTATCTCCTCCACTCAATATGCATCCAATGTGTGAATCAATTACGGTGTGAATTCTCAACGACTGTGGCCCCGTGCAATAGAGAATAAAGGGGCAGTGGGTGGAGGTTGAAGGTTGAAGGGAGTATTTGAATTAGCATTTTCGTTGTCTTGTCCATCATCTCGGTCGCCGTCTCTCATTTCCACATGGATCGGTGCCCACCGGCGTTTTCTCTAGCCCGTGTACAAGCCTGGGGGGCGTGAGTGTGCGCGACGTGCACAGAGAGTGAGGTATCCACCGAGCAACAGAGAGAAATCGAGGGTAAAGAGGAATGGGTGAGACTAGGAACGATATTAGCGATTCCACTGGCGTCCCGACGGCCCTTGCTCACTCTCTCTCCCTTTCCTCTTTACCACCCACATCCCACCCATTGGTCTCATATACCGCACATACACCCTGTCTGTATTTCCCGTCTCCCGGTCCTCTCTTCCGTCATCCCAAAACCATCTCACGAGCTTTAACCCCCCAACCTATTCCCATTTTCGTATACAAAAATTAAACACGACTTTATTTCCATATTTTTGCATTTTCGCATTATGTCGACCAACACGCTCAAAGCTACGCTAAATTATTCTCACATTTCAACTTATTACATTTATTCTATTGAATCAACGCGTAAATAGAGGAAAAACATGGAGAGAAATAATTTATTTTTATTATTATTCGGGATTTTTTTTTCATTTGAAAAAATCGAAAACCTTGTAAATAACGAGGACCAATGAATCACCCAACGTCTGAATCACAGCTCGGAAATGGCAGAGTTAAACCGAGTGAAAATACCTCGAGACTCCTCAGCATCTAATTTATTCTACAAAGGGAATCGGCAGTATCTTCCGGCCCTGAATTTTATGACGCCAGTCGAAGTCACTCAATCGAGATACAATGAGGCGAATTTGATAGACACGTGTGTGTATATGATCCAAGTAGTGAAGGGAGAAGTTAACGGGGCAAATGGCCCAGGGACGGAGGATCAAACTAGCCATTAAAACCCACTGGTCAAAGCTTCTCATTGTCAGTTGAACGTCATTAGAGTCCCCTTGGTGCATACACTACAGAGGAAGGCTGCGCACGTCGTGTCCTATATGAATTGCCATCAGACACCGACCAGGAAGAGCGCAATTAATAATAAACCCCTCTACCCCCTCGATGATGAATGCCAACCCTGTCTGCCTCACTCACTCACTCACTCACTCACCCGAAATTAAAAAAGAACGAAAAAAAAAAACCTACTTACAGAGAAAATTAGCTGAATCAGAGATCAATTTTTTCCAAATTTCCCACTCTACAATTTTTCTTTCATTTTTTTTTTTGTATTTCAATTCTCCAGAGATTCACAATTTCCATTCCAATTCTCTACTTTCCGGTGGAAAACCGAGTATCTGAAATTTCCCGTGAGACTTTTCCTGGCTCTCACTTCTCATCCACTTCCCCCGGCATAAACTCGCGTGGATGTACAGTTTCAGATAAAGTGTCAAAATATATTCATAAAACGAGTGAATGAAATAATAATTACACTGACATGAGGAATGATTTGACCGATGAAATCCAAGTGAATTGAAAGTGACATGAAAATTTTTTCTCGTGAGCATATTCGACGCCCCTCCATCCCCCTGCATCCCCCTGCATCCCCCTATAACCGAGCCCTCAACGTCAAGAGAAATTTACGCTCATGTTTTATCAGTCGAGTGAATTTGTTTCGGACGACGCGGAAACAAATCGTCGACGTTATGCTCAACGTCGGACGCAAATCGTTTTCCCCTCCCTATAGCCCCGGTAAGATTATGTGCCTATCTTCACCGCACACTCACCAGTTTCCTTCGGCACCGTGAGCCCCTCGATCTCAAGCAAATAAGGGGTGAACTCCCCGCAAAAAAGAAATAAAGAGACCGGCGTAGGAAAGAGAATAGAAATCGCCGGGGGGCACCGCATGTGTGAGAAATCCAAGGTGGCCGTTTAGTTTTCGTATACCGATTCAAAAAGGTTATATCCCCTAAATCGATCCTTCAACCCTCCTCCATATATCCACTCCACTGTATAACCCCCTTTATACTCATCTCTCTGACCCCCCCCCTCTCTCTCTCTCTCTCTCTCACCCCTCTCGCCCCCTTATATCACCCATAACACACGTTGAGGAGAAAGGATATACCTTACACCGACGGAAAAAAAAACACCCCCTTCACTCCATCTACTTATCTCGAAAAAGGAGAACGCAGATAAGTTTAAACGAGAGAACAAAAACCGGAAAACCCAATAACGTAAATCTTGGGTAATGGGCCACTGCTGGGGGGCACTTCCTCCAAACTCCCCACCGACTGCCATTCTAGTTGCTATTTCGAATTGACATGAGATTGTTATTCAAGATGTGATCGATGGCCCCGTTACCAACTTTAATATACCTCAATGTTTTTATCATCATAATGTTTTTTTTTTCTGTTTTACTCTTTTTTTTTTTACGTGGTACACCACTCACTGACAAATGGATTCCATTTTCGGATTTATTGTTTCTAGTTTTTTTGAAGAGAGTTGTCCTCAATTTTCAAAGTTGGAAGAGCGCATGGAATGGGGAGGAGGATTTATGACAATTGATGGAAGCTATTTTGAGCTTATCATTCTTGTGTTTTGAACATTAGGAAGATATTTATGTGAGTTTTTATCTGGTTTTGACGGATTTCAAGTGTTGAAGAATGTAATTGCACGATAGGTGTCTATTATTTTTTTGCCAATGCTATTCCACTGGGATAATAAAGAAATTAATGGAAAACAAAGTAGAAAAGCCCGGACTTTGCACTGCAATAAGAGAAGATGAAATTGGCCCCAACAGAAGAGGCCAGATGGCACCCGTAGGAAACAGTAATTCTACTCAGTGCAATTTTTTCCCACCTCTATACACCAAGTGAACCTAATAATCCCCCCAGGTAAGTGGTGTACCTCAACACACTGAGTAATGGGGTAAATGAATGGGTGTGTGACTGCTTCGAAGAGAGCCAAGGAGATAGAGACTAGGATGAATGAAATCTTCGGACAGAGTGGAGTGCTGCGAATATGCGGTACCCTCCTCCCAAAGAAGGGGGATTAAAAAAAGCCAGCGAAAAACCTCGTGAGGGATGGGATAAGAGGGTTTACCCGGTGCACACGGGGCCCTCCCCAAGCAGGACTAAAAACTCTGGTGGCGCTTCTTTTCTCCGTGCACCCCTACACCCCTGCACCCCTGCACCCCTGCACCGCCGACCCCCTACCCCCTATCCCACTCCACTCTTTTCTCTTTCACCTCTCAAAGGAAAACGAATAAAAAGGGGGAATAAAAGTGAAGGAAAAAAAAATGAAAAAACCAAAGAAAAAAAAAATAGAAATAAAATAAAGAATGAGAGAAAACTCCGTCACGTCCTCCGGCAAAAGGATTCCCAAAGAGGCGGCGTGTTGAATCGGAACGTCGTTTGCACGAGAAGAAAAGGCAGAAAAAGCAACTTTAACAAAATTTCCAAGTGGAGAAATAAGAAGAAAATTGAACAAATAGAGCGAGGATTTTTCGATCCTAGACACGAGACAAAACGGAAATTCTCGAGAGCACTAATTTTGAGGGAGGAATTTCATACTGCGGATCCACGTGCTCGCTAACGCCCACCTAAGAGCCCAAAAATTTCAACCCCGAACCGAAACGTCGGCCCCACTCACATTTGTATTGCCAAAGGGGGAGAAATCCATCCAATTCTCCCTTCGAGTTTCGTAGAAACATCTAGAGATGTGTGGGGATTATCGACAGACCCTTAACTTTCAACGTCTGCGACTGACATAAAGAAAATATTCATATTCCTGGTTTGATCGTGTTTCTTAATTGAATTTTCCACCAGATGGAATAATATGAGCAAGTGTTTGTCAGCGTCTATTCACTCCTTCAATAGGGAGTTTACGTCAATTGTTTAAGAGCAAAGTTTACTATTGATTGAGAGGATAATAGAGAGGGTGAGTAATAGCCTCGAGTAGTTTGTCCTAATGGGGGAATTAATTCTCCTAACTGACGCGATAGAAAAAAAAAAAAAATATGGTGAAATTTCACGGATATCCCGAAAGGACAGCCCCCGTGATATAAGGATATCTCCCGGGCACAGAAGGATCACAAGCATCACGTATTGTATAAAAATGACTCACCGTTAGCGAGGGGTAGAAGGGCCAGCAGCAGCAACAGCACCAGACTCCTCCCTTTCCAACACACCAGTCCCTGCATCCTGGAAAACACACAATACACTTACATCAATGTCATATACAACCGCATAAAATCGTAACATTCAACTGGGGAAAAGCCCATGTACGAAAATAAATACAGAAACGTGAAATGGGAGAGTAGCTACTCGTAATAATACATTTCAGTATTTTGACACTGGCCTGTCTAGTTTTCTTTTGTCAGAGTAGGGTAGGGAAGAAAGAAATTGAATCGCTGGATAAATTCTTCACGCTCATGCAATCCTTGTAGGACCACCTGAGACAAAAGGGGGTGGAGACCATAGCATGCACGAAATTTAGTTGACAGGTGATAGGATGGAACAGACGCTACCGGCTGCACCCTTACTAAATTACTCCTCAAATTTAATTTCCCTCAGTGCATTAAATAGCCAATTATAATCACGCTCAAGAATGTTGTGAGTAATATTTAGCACACGTGTTTCATTGAATTTGCATAGAAATTATCCCTGAAAGCCCTCTCGGTCGATTTCGTCCCAATGTATTGCGGTCGATCACTGTTATCGGTCATTCCTCGATGGGGAATCAGTGTATGCGCCATGATTCGGTAGAACGGAGAATTGAGGACAAGGTGTTTTGACCACTGATACCACGTGCCTCCCAAAGATTCCGATTATTCTCGCCGCCATACCACCGAGTGGAACTCTGGCGTTCGAACAATTGCTCGAGCAATTCACCCCGTAAAAACTCTCTACCAAGCACCTCAATCGAAATTAATTGAAAAATTCTCCGCTAATGAATTCCCGCAATGAGTGTTTGCTTTGATGAAAAATACCCACGGGGATCTAGGCAAAAATAAATTAAATTTTGTATTCCAAGTGTAGTATGTCGCTGGGATAAATCCCCCTGGGGCAATGGGTCTCTCTATTTGAGCTTGAAAAATACTCATCATCCACGGAAATGACCTTCTCTCACCGACGTTATCGCAGTACCTTCGCTTCTTCTGCATATAACCCACAACTCCACACACCCCTACATTCATTCATTCTTCTTTTTTTTTTTAATACTTTTTTCCCTCCTCCTCCCCCTCCTCCCCCTCCTACCCCCTCCTACCCTTTACCATGTTCCTGTCCTTCTACCCCCTATGTCGTCTGCTCGGTGGCCCATCAGTCTTCCATACTACGCGGACGGCAAAGACAGATATATTTCCCCGGGAGAATGTCCAACGTCGGCTTGATGCATATCTCTATTTTTTTCCCTTCCTCTCCCCCATGTTTTTTCACCACTTGCATGTCCTTTTACAACGAACGCGAAGGGGAATGGAGAAAAAATATTCTCGTTAAGTGGTGAGTGAAGATAAGAATTTTGGAAAAAAAAAAAAAAATGAGAATGCCATCACGTGAGTTAAGAAAAAAAGAAAAATTTGAAGGAATTTTCCCTTCCAGTCAACAGATACATATTTCATGATGTTTGAAGCAATAAGAAGAGACATCGAGAGAGAAGCCCTTGGATTTCTCATCGGAATTGGGAAATTCGGTCGGCGTAAAGATTGGCAGGATTCTCAAGAGACATTCGCAGGGTAGCCGATCGATCATCAAAAGCACGTGGACGTAATATCGACGAGCTGCTGGACACGAACGCGTTAAAATTCCATCGAGTCTCATATCTCGTCTCTCGGTCCGAGTTTTCTCCGGTCACTTCTTCCCATACCACCGACATACAAACATACACGATGATTCTTCCTTCTCCCCCATACCCACTTTTCCCTTTTTCATCCTCCCTTTTATACTTTTATTACGTGTCTCATGGACACACGATATGCCCGTCTGACTCTTTTTTTTTCCATTCTCCCTCGAAAAACATATACGCCCCAAGATACATCCAACGGATTTGCCACATGAGATGGCAGAGAGATCAAAAAGCAATTTCTTTACATTTGTTACGTGAAGAAATCATTTATACAATTTTTCTCCTAGCATTTCTCCACTTTCCACTATTTCATAATCACTGCACTGTGAATGCACTGTAAATGCTGATTTCATCTCAATTCGTGTACAAGAATTAATAGAAATTCCAAATAAATTTTTACACTGGAGGAGACAATTTTTTTTCTGCCAATTAAATTCACTGGTAACAAGCACATTTCTCCGAGACAAGAATTTTAATGGCAATGGCAATGCTATGCAGACATTTTAAGTATTCAATTGTCACAAGTATATTTACTTAGGAGAGAAATAATGTTGTTTTGTTTTTTGGTGTGTACACGAATGGGGATATTGTATATTAAATTTTCAACACGTAAAAAATGTAATTAATTGTTTGCCTCTTTATTCAAGCCGAAATGGGGCTCTCCACCGTCTATGTACTCACCCGAATCGATCGTAACAACCCATGCCCTCTCGGCATCCCCGAGCAGTTGAGAGTAATTAGCAGAAGGTGACTAATTAAACGATGCCCAGTAGTTACCGCGGCAACAGCCAGCGCTCACAACTATCTAAACCCATTTCAACGATAACATTTCAGTACAAATATATACAACAGACGTGTATATTTGCACAATGTCCTCAAACATCCCGTGTGCCCACGGAGGCGCGCAAAGTCGATCCATTACCGTACCTATTTTTTTGCATCGACGAGCAGGCTTTTTGTTTACTCTAACTCCCACCCACCCTCTTCATCACCCTTTGTTTTTTAAACCGTGGCACGTACGTGGAAAGCGTCTCCCGGATGGAAATAAGCAAATACGAGGCATGAAAACATACACGCATATCAAAGTGTGTGTAAAGTAATCAAGAGACGCTTTTCACAGAGCCCAGAACGTGATTAACAATTGTAATTGGAATTCAAGATATAATTTACCTCGCGGTGAGTAAAAAATAAAGAGGAGAACAAGTGAAAAACCGATGAAAGTGGAGACTGAGACGAGCGGTGAGAATAACACGTGAGATATTTTTATTGCGGCAGATGAGAAGTGAGAAGAAACGTGTTTGAGATAGAAATAAAAGAAATGGATATTAAATAAAGCAAGGAGAACAGGTGGGTCAAAGAAACAAGAGAAAAATGACATTACTATGAAAGGAGTGGTGGAGTGGTGGAGTGGTGGAGTGGTGGAGTGGGAATGAGAGAATGGAAGATGAGCTTAGAGGCCAACAGGAGACGCATTACAATTCTGAATGCAACGAGGCCGCGACTGGATTATACATTGTTGGTGTTTCTCTGCAGTTGTCGGCGAGAGTTATACGTGTGTGTGAGTTTTGCAAGGATATAAACCTATACCAGTGAGAAAGATACACTGCCGAGTGAAACAATGGGTGTCTTGATGACTCGGTGGGTACCTCCTGTATCGGATTCCCAACGTGCATTTTCCATTTGTTAAAGAGGCTTCATCGCGCTTTGTAACATGATATCAACTATTATATTGTACGGGATGCCCTCGACAATTGGATAATTGTCATTATCGGCGAAAATAATATTACTTTTATAAGTACCGCTGCCGGTTTATATTCAGATCTTGAAATATTCAACTTTTTTTACTGCGAAAATTCATCACACCAAATTTGCCATTTTTTTTGCCCCCCCACCCTTTTTTTATGCCTTCCAGACGCTCCAGGTGACGTGACCGTGTTTTTCGGCAAAATACCGCAGCTGGCTATCTCCGATATTGCGGCTGTAATTACGTGCAATTTTCAACGGAATTTTTACAGCCTCTATCCAACGACTCAGAAATTAATCCCTCCATGCTTTTAAAGAGAGAGAGAGAGAGAGAGAGAGAGAAAGAGGAAAAAACTCCATAGGTGAATTTTTAAATAAGTTTTATAAATGAAAATTTGAAATTCTCGGTTTTACGAGGAAATAATCCCCCATGGAAATTCCAACCTCCGTGTAATCTGCCATTTTTTACGATTTTTTTTTTCCCCTCGCCTTCATCAAGGGTACACGTAGGCTCATTGTGTAGTAACATCAGCATCCACCCGGATCTTCCTACTGAGTGAGTCACGATCTACCAGCCATGTACACCAAAAGCCACATACACCACACATACAACGAAATTGCACCAGGAAATCTTTTAAATTCAGATATTTATGAAGATTATTCTCTACCCTTGAATAAGTCCCGGTTGAGTGCCATTCCTACAAATGTACGAGTGTTTACTGCATTTAATCATGAATCGAGCTTCAATCAAGACTTGTAAATTTTTAATTTAATTCAGTCTTCTTGAAAAAATGATAAACCCGTCATTTGGAGCTATAGTTGAAAATATTCTAGGGCAAATAATAGTTGATATTCTATTGAATGATCGAAGATAAAAGGTGATTTATCGGGAGGGAAGAGTTAGAATTATTGTACCTCGGGCAATGTTTATGAAAACCAATTTCAACCGATTAGACTGAGTTTGCACGTCAGAGTGTCCGCTGTAAGCATTAGAGAAATCGATTGAGTGTTCTCTGGAGGGCAGAAACAGGGAAGTGGAGGAACTGTGGATACCGATAAAGGAAAATATATCAAAGTTGATGGTGGACTGGTTGTGTACCCGATCTCTACGTGCCCCCCACTCCGTCACCGAAACTCCGAGTATCCACAGTATATGCTCACATTGCCGGTGGAAATGTTAAGAGATGGGGGTAAAGAAGGGGTGTGAGAGATCAGGAGAGAGGGTAGGTGGGATGAAGGAAACGGTCGGTCGGTGGTTACACAAGAGGGCGATATTTTGGCAACGGCCATTTCCCAGAGCGAAAGCCACGGGGAGAGAGGCAAGACTGGGGAAAAGCATACACTGGATTTCCCGAAGTGCGAGGGGATGAGACTATGTGTGAAGAAGAAGAGGATGCTTTACGTGGAAAATTCAGAGAAGATAGGAGGATACTGTGTACGAAAATCGTGGGGCCCAGTGCAATAAACCGAAACTCCACGCTCCGTTGACTTAGGACGTAAATAGGAAGCTTAATATCTGTCATTGTGACGGCACGACGACTGGCCCTCGGGGTATACCATTTCTGTGTGCTTTTATCCACACCACGACGTGTTCAATACCACTATTTCATATCAA